CCATAAACTGACGTATTCGATATGAATGCTAAGGAATGCATAGCTTTATGGAAAAGGTTAACTGAGCAACTAACCAACTGACTGATTCCACAACACCAGAACACCTTTTTGTCTCTCTCTACTTAAGTGCAATTACAGACAGAAAGATAAAAAACAAAAAAAAAAGACAAAAAAGTACTACGGATCAGTCTGTCAATCACTTGGTAACAGATTCTCATTGTTTTAATTGCCTGTTGTTTTTTTTTTTTTATAAAAGTTTATTCCAATTAGTTTTTTTTTTTTAGCTGATTTTGAAGGGTAGAGGTTTCAAAACCTCCCAACAAATTAGCTGTTTTCTGCATTTCACCCGTTATATCAATCAAATAAACTGGAAATCAAGATAGTTGATAAAAATCAAATTAAAACAGAATAACCTTTTAAAGTACACATATAGAGATATAGTTTAAAGATGAATATGTTCAATGATGAAGATAGTGATCAAAAGGACAAGGAATAAAAGAAGAAGAAAGCAATATAAGAGGTGTGTTAATGGTAGGAAATTAATGTACAGTTCCATTCTATTCAGTAAACGATATTAGTGCCTAAATTTTCTGTAACCTGACCGTAACTTGATTCAACATTGGTAAGGTGTTGTGTATTTACATAGAAATAAAAGTTAACTGTTACACATTCAATTTCATCACTGAAAAGTTACAAAAAAAAATTGTTGTTTAGATACGTGACCACAGAATGTTACCAATTTTTATGATGTTTTAGCCTGGTTTTTTTCCATTTTTGCTCTGACCTACAAAATCATAGGTTTCACCATGGTATCAGCTAGTTTTTGTTGGATAATCTTGTATTGTTGCTGGTATTTTATTACGTATTTAAAAAAGCTGTGTAAAGGATAGTCAAGTGTATGGTAAAATTTTTGAAGAACAATTAAACAAATAACAGAAACTGTATAGTGGGACAAGAAAAAACAAAAAACAAAAAAAAAAAACAAACAAAGAACATAAAATCAATGACGGTTTGATAGTGTAATTGAATGGATTAATTGGATTTGTTAAAAAAATAAACAAATGTTTTTGTAAAGAAGGATTTTTTTGCTTAAAAAATGACAACAAATAAACTGGATGAACATACAAAAGTGCAAAAAAAAAGCAGAAAAAAAGTGAATATCGAATGGTGACGATCAAAAAGCACATTATTTACGAAAAAAAAAACAAAAAACAAACAAACCATTCAAATAAAGCAGTTTTAAGCAAATTAAAAACAAAAAATACCTTAAAAAATGAAATGCAAAAATTTTCAATTTTAGAAACTGGAAATTTTAATATTTTAGAAACCGCTGAAAAAAAAGCAAATGAAAAAGATTAAACATGATTACATTTATTATAATTTAGAACTTTTTTTCTTGCCGTTTTTTCGTGTTCATTCACTAACCTATAATGTCGTTCTTTCGCATAAAAAAAAGGTTCAGAAGTCATCCCCGTCCCCTACCCCCATTCCTATCCCAGCCCAGTTCAGAATACAATGAACATCTATCTGTACCATTTGCAGTGCCACCACCACAGAAGCCCGAAACACTTATCAATGACTAATTTACCAAAACCAGAGTCTCAACCAACTAGACAGAACAGCCACTGATTCAGCGAATACAATATATAGATGAGAACGAATTCTGATATTAGTAATTCATTAGTCATTACAACCGCTCCGCTGGCTGT